GCTAATTAACTGGAAGAAACACACGTAGTCCAGGTCAAAGCTCCAGCTAGGAACCCATTGCTCAGATAAATGTAATTAGAAATGGCTAAAATTGATGTCCTCTGACGAATACAGATAAACAGTGCAAGGCTCGGGCCTCTTTTCTCTCCCTCCTGTTTTTTTTTTCCATGCCTATATAAAATATAAATTAAACAAAAATGGTTAAACAATGCCTCATTTCATAGTTCATAAACATTTTCCCTCCTTATGTTACCTCTTCAGGTTTCTCGTTATCCTGACTCTCCTACATTTCCATCCAATAAGCCTTTCTATAGGTGCACCTCCTCATGTGAGGGAGGCCGACTCTATCCTCCGTCTCCCCTTTTTTGGCATGCCTGTGCCAGGTATTTGTTCAAATTCCTCACACCCTGTGGGGATAGGTATGTCCACCTCTTCCCCCTCCATCCCTCTTCAGTCTTTACTGCCTGCCTCTGTCTAACTTTATGTACGAAGTGGCTAACGCGGACTCCCCGCCGGCACCAACATGAGACGTAGGCCTCACATTCTGCCGGCTACAGTCACAACTTAAATCATTTCCAAGCTGCTCTGTTTCTCAAAGCTGGCAAACTGCAGCAGTGGGTTTGACAACTGCTCAGCCAAAAACAACTTAGCGGGTAACAGGCTGCTGGGAGCTGCTTCTGATATCTCCTGAAAGGCCAGTTTATTCAGAGGTGATGTCGGAGCGTCCACCAGTTAAACTGTGCTCTCTCCCGCATGGAAAGATGTTGACCCGGGCCCGTATATTGGATAGTTAATTTCCTCTATAGTTTAAACACCAGATCACACCATAAATCCCCTTGTGAGAGTTGGACAGATTGAGTGCTAACAAGAGCAGTTGTGGTATTGACATTGGGTCAGAGCTGAAGTGTTAGTTATGGAGAAACGTCACGAAATGACAGGAAAAAACATTGATAAGAGGCCCAAAAAGCAGTGAGGCTAAACTCAGTTTAAACTTCGTGTTCTGCTGTCAGAGAGGCAGTTGTATGAAACCTGATTCCATTTTTTATTTAAACTGTAAAGCAAAAACATGTGCACATCATAAAGGTTTCAATTACCAACACAGCCTGGATCTGGCTTAGATCGACGTTTCTTTCTTAGATGGCACCAAAATTGAAATACAGCACACCAAAAGCCTGCTTTGTGTTGAAAAAAAAAATCTCAGTAGAAGCATTTTAAGTTGAAGGCTTCTAATGAATCACACGCCGTGCTAGGCTTTCATGGTGGTGACGAGAGAAAGAGATTGCACTGTAAAGAAAAAACAACCTCCTTTAATTGGGCTAAAAAATACTTTTAGTTTTTTAATCTTGAAAAGCTGTTTAATAAAGGGAAAAATATTTACGTAAGTTCGGAAAACCAAGGTAGTTGTAATCTTTAACTTTTTCAAGTGAGTTTCCAGTATTTATACCTTTAAGATGTTGGTTATTTCAAAATGTGAAGTTCAGGTTACTTTCATGTTTTTATTGTGAAGTTCAGAAAACAAAAACTTTCGCAGATGGCTTTGCAATTAGAGGCTTAGTGTTCTTTAATGTTAAAACTCAACAATACAAATTGAAGCTAAAGAGATGCTGCCAATGAAAGTAACATTGTATAAAGGTTTCTTATTTATCCATATTTAATTTCAAAGTTGACCTGTAGTAAAGTTACCAATAATCAGGGATTGGTGTTTGGTTGGCCTAGTTTGAAGGCAAAGCTACTTAAAGCAACCATAAAGGTCAGTGGTTTAATAAACTCTAAATAAAATTATGATTCTTAAGTAAGAAGTTTAAGATTTCTATGTTATTTTTTTACTTTAAAAAAAAAAATACTACTGCTTTCATATGAGTTGAAAAAAAATCAGCATTTCAAGTTAAAATAACAGAATTCAAAGTTTGGTAAACTTAAAAGAAAAACTCCTAAACTGAAATACTGCTTTTTTGTTTACCTTTATATTTTAATTTCTACTAACTTTTTTTTCTTTTTACATTTTACTAATTTTACTGTGTTTGTGCAGCTGTTGATGTTATATTGCTGTGAAGAAGCGTTTGCCCTCAGACAGAAGTTTATAGTTTTCCTTTTTTTATTGAACTTAATTTAGATCATTAAATAAATTTGAATATTATACAATATTAAGCTGATTAAATACAAAAATATTAATTGCTTTATAAGGAGGAAAAGTTTCTTTAAAAAATATAAAAACTTGGTCCTTGGTTAATAAGTAAACTGTCTTTCTTTCTCATCCAGAAGAACCGACAACATGACCTTCAGTTTTCAGTTTCCTCAGTAAATTTCAGTGTTTAAGATTCAACAATGAGAAAATAGGATTATCTGCAGATTAAAACTAACAAAAGGACCAATTTCTCATTTGCAAAAAGACAACAACAAAAAAAATCATGGATTTCAAGATTTTTGAGGAAGACAGAGCACAACTTCTTGGAGATTGTTCATCTCATTGTATCTAGACGGTCATATTGACGGCCAAACATGGTGCACATGATACTGGACAATCTGCTGTGATTTAGACACCATTGGGGGTGTACATAACAAGCATTAAAGAGGACATTATGTGGCACTGGTTATACTTTACCTGTCTGTCATTGGCTTGATGCAATCTGCTGGGTTTCTTACGTAAAAAACCTATTACTCTTTGATACAATCTAATTTCAATTTAATGACTCTGCAGTACCTTAACAAAATATTTGGTTGAAATTTGTACATAGAAACAAACATGGCAAGAAGGAAAAACACATCTTTTAATAAGACTAACTTTCAATTTGTTGAAAGAAAATTTGAAATTTGAATTTTCCAGATATGCTAAGTCCCATGAGGTATGAATGGTGTATATAGAGCCGTTTTGTTTTGCTATAGGATGAAGTGTGTTAAAAGCAGGGTTCTGACGCTATCCCATTTAAACAAGGATGATAGTAATAATACTTGTGATTGTCTCTTCGAAGAAAATTAGGATAATATACATAGTAATGGTGCAGCTGGGGGTGCAGAGGAAAGTGAGGGTTCAAAACCTGATGACTTGAGCAAATAGATTAGATTCCTCCTGGAGGCAAAAACATAACAAAACAAATAACATTTCTGCCTGGGAACCCTGTTTTTGTCTAAACTGTACAGCAGGTGGTTGTGATCACGTTCATGCATCACTGAGATCCCAATGATTACCATTTCTCTTTAGTTTAGTCCTATAAAGTTATTTTTTCCTTAAAGGATTTATGTATAAAGTCTTGAATTAGGATCAAAGAGCTGAAAGAAGGATGAATCAAGCAAACATGAGCAAAGACAATGTTATTTTTACACAAATACAATGAAGAACATTAGAAACGTGACAAAGTTGTTTTAGTTTTATATTGTGATATAGTTTTCATCCTGTAAATTTTATTATTTATTTTTGGTTCATAAATATCTTAAAGCCTAACTAACACCTGAAATGAAAATGTGAAATCTTTGAAATTAACATTTTTATTATTTAATATTTTAAAAATGTATTTTAGTAAGTATATTAAAACACAAAGGGGAAAAAAAGCTGTCCCAAATAAATTTCTTTTTTTTTTTTTCTCATCGTACACCTGTTGCTTGAATGTGTAGGCAAAAAACAACATGTTATTTGATTTTTCTTGAGATTAAGATACTAAAATCACTTTCTGGATAATAAGGATGAGGATTTTTATCAAAAAATTAAAAAGTTAATAGTTAAAAAGGTAGAGAGAATGCATAGGTTTTTATGTTAACATCATATGAATATCATTTTATTCAACATTCTCCCTTTTAACGCTAAAACAATCCACGTTCAATAGAAGGGCTGAAATAATCCGTGGAGATTACAATTAGACAAATGTTTCTATTTATGGACTTTATTTGGAATTCATGTAAATGTTAAGATCTGCTGTTACGGACTTTTTGGTTCTGTTTAAGTTTTCACTTTTGGTTCTTAGTTATGCTTGGTATATATTTGGTATATATTTATATACTTGGTATTTAAATATATACCAAATATATGGATGACAGTAAGTACAAGTATAATATATACTTGGTATATATTTATTTTTCTGAGTAGTCCTTATTCTCTCTGTTATTTTTTGGTTATGTTCCCCCATGGCACAATAGTTTTCTAGTTTACCAAATCTGTTTCTGATAGTTCAGTTTTTACTAGGTCATTGGTTTCTTTTCCCTTTAGTATCATCTTGGTTCCCAACTCTATTGTATTTCCTAGTTAATCTCCATTTCCGCCTAATGTAATCTTCCTTCCCCTTAATTTTCTTCTATTCTTTCTGTGCACACCTGTTCCCACTTAGATCAATAATTCAATCAATGTCCTGTTAGTTAGTTAGTTAGTCTCCTCCTCATTGCCATCCTTGCTTGATTACCCCCAGTGCTGTTCCCTTGCCTGTTCACTCTAGATTTGTACTGCTCTTACCATATTCACCAATAAATCTCCAAAATAACAGCTGGAACTTCATCTAACCTCCGCAAACCTGAGAGTAAATTCCAGTTTAGATTTATTCTTTACTGAAACTATTAGAAAGTCATCAAAAGATCTAACCCATCATTAATGGAGCTGTAAAGCAGTATAAATAAAAGCTGGCATTAGTGTTAATGTGTTTAAAATTCTTTCAGCACCACTCAGAGGCATAGCTGTGGAAAGAAAGGTTTTCCTTAAAAGTCATAACTCAAAACAACTGTCAAGAATTAACCTGAATTATGGGAAAAATGTTGGATTAAAGCTGCCTAATTTGGGCAAACTTAAATCACAGGCTACATGTAGGAAAAGTAGAAATGGAAGAAAAAATAAGGTAAAAAGTTGAATTGAAAGGTAAAAAATAAATTATATAGCATATTCAATTTATTTAAATGGTGGCTTTCCAAGCCTAATATTAACATCCAGTATGCATGCAGGATAAGACCCCTTAGTTGTGTTTCTCCTCCCACCCCTTTCCTCTCTCTCCCAGCTCCTCATAGTATAGCTCAGACCCATCACAGACAGATGGACAGAGAGCCGCGCTGATAACTGAAGGGGACAGAACTGATCTTCAGCTTCAGATAAGAAACATTAAACCTCCCCATGCTGAATGTGAGATGCAAAGAAGAAGATTAGAGAATGGGAGCTGAGCTTTTATACTCAACAAACATCCTTTTTTAAACGTCCAGGATTTTTCAACCCAGTATGTAAGTTAACATTTTTATTTTAATGTATTAACATCAATAAAAAAAAACGAACGTCATTTCTATACTGAAAAATAAAAATAGTTGATTTCTCTGTCTTTTGAAGTCATAATTGCCCCTTTTAATAAATAAATGAAGTCAATATAATAGCTACATTGTGGTCATTAAGATTTTAAACTTAAGAAATCTGTATCTGTATTCATAAAATACAGATCCGCTGTAATGAGAACAGAAGAGTTCAGTTTTTTATGCAACGTCTTTTGGAATTTAAAAAAGTCAATAAGGTATTTCAAATATAAAACTCTGGACTGTAGCGCGATGTACAGCTGTCATGTAACAGGAGCTACAGAAAGCACAGCAGGGGGACTGCGGCTCTTCCACCACCTCACAGTAGCACTTTAACCTCCAGGTCAGAGGCCGTCTCTTAGGCCTTTGCTTTGGTGTCATGAAGACATCCCTGTCCAGAGCCGTCTGTTCTGAAGCTCACATGCTGTTCTCCCCTGTCAAAATGAGTGTTTAATTTTTTTTCCTACAGAGCGCAGCGCCAGACTTGAGTCCTGCTGCGTTATGACTCGGCAAATTTACACGCACCGGTCCCCATCCAAACCACCGATACGCAAAGGGCGCACAAGATATCCAAACATAAACCTGACCTTTTCTAACTTGCTTGTTAATAAGATTGGTCAGCTCTGCTGCCTTTTTGCTCCTGTACTGTTTAACCTAATTGCTGTCCAACTGGTGACCGAAAAGGGAAGGTTTTCCATGCAGATTTACCTTTTTTAACTGTGGACCACCTCCTATTTAAAAAGCCTAACGACACAGGGTCCACGTGAAACAATACAACAGGGATAGCTGTTCCAACTAGAGCAGGTTTCTGCTGAAACATAAACTATCCTGGGTTTGCTGATATTTTCATTTAATCATGTTTATGTGCCTTTCTCCTGCTTTGCCCGCTGTCAAAGTTTAAATAGGGGCAATTCAAACTGAAGCAGACATAAGCAGTTTGCTGGATTATTGTTCACAACGCTGGCTCCATGGAGTGCCAAATTAAACAATTCACACCCTTTAAACCTTGGCAAATAAAACACATTATGGATTTTATTTGGTAAGGCAACAGAAAGTGAGTAATGATGAAATGCAAAAATAAAATAAGACATAGTAACCTGAAAGATGAAAACATTTAGCAACCATGAGCTGATACTTGAACCAAATTTGCTTACAATTACCCTAGCTGTTCATGGATAGGTCTGTACAAGCTGTAGGTATCTAAATAATAAAATCTTTAGCAATTTTTAATCCTCCCTTCAATAAGATTTGATTAGGAGCATCAGAGAACACCAAGTTCCAAGTCTTACCTTGGATTACGAGTTAGATTTTGACTGGCATTCAAAATTTGATCTAAACCAGAGGGTTCCAAATTGCAGCCCCTGGGGCAAATTTGATCAGCCTTTGGTCACAGTTCAGTTCAGAAATAGTTTATATTTCATTCCCCATCTTAGGCAGTTAAAACAGATACATGTGAAAAATAATGTAAGAGTGCAATAAAAAAAAAAGATACAAATAAAAATTCTTCTTGAAATAAGAAGTACAAGGTGCAAAAAAGCATTAAAATGTTATCAACATATTTTTATGTTTTGCTTTTAACTGAATCTAATAGTTAATAGTACAACAAATATAGACCAACTTTAACTAAAACATAGACTTGGGGGCAATCATCTGTTAAATTTGAAATTGAACTTTACTCTTATTGTTGCTGAAAAGACACAGAAGAATGTAGAATAAGAGAATTACCCAGTATCTTGAATATTATTTAGTTTTGCTTCTTTCAATTGGCAAATTTCAAGGCATTTTAATCTATAATGATTTACAAGTACCTTTTTAACCACCGTTTGGCCAACTTTGAATATTTTATTGAGACATCCTGAGCCTATTGTTAAGGAGGTAAAAATGAAGAAAAAAAAAAGAAAAACTGACCCCAGTGTGTCACTGTATTTTCCCTGTTAAAAGGGAAAATTTTCTCTCCAGTGTCACTACATGCATCCTTGGTGTGAGGGATTGCTACAAAGTCAGCAACAAAATGCAAGCGAATGTGATGCCACACACTCATCCAGGTGGAGTGAATCCTGCAAAGTCAATGACTCGCTGCAATCAGCTTGGTTTCCTTCTATAGAAAACCGTTAACCACTCCATGATCAATTTAATTATGTCTGTGAATTCCTTGAGACAACATGTTTTGTGAATTTGCACTATAAAAATTAACTTAATCAAATTGAATTATTTCAAACTTGACATTTTTGTTTCAAATTTCAAACAGTTTGAACACCACTGATCTTAATGGTTCAAGGCTGGATTCAATTTGAGATTTTTTTCCTGAATCCTCTCTACAGTCTCCATCTGTTGAGACATCTAACAGATTTACCTTCAGAATCGACTTTTATTTGCCTACATTTATCTTTCTATCATCTAGGATTAGCTTTACCTTTCCACACAGAAGTAAATATTCCCCACATCATGATGTTGCTAGTGCCATGTTTACCCATGCTAATCGTGTGTTCAGAGGGGTGTTCAGTTTTAGGATTATGGCCAAGATAGCATTCAGCACATTGGTCTTTTTTTTAAGGTAGACAGCCATGTTTTGGATTGTTTTTATAGTTCAATGCTCTTTTCATTGTAAAATGATATCTAAAATAATGCTTAGATTTATTAATAAAAGAAAACCATGCAGAAAAACCATGTATAATTTCCATCAGTTCACAGTATTGCGCTATTTTGTGATGATTTATTGTATGATATCAACAAAATACAACTGCATTTGCAACTGTTACATGACAAAATGATGTTGCTCCATAATTAGTGGATTTCCAGTTTAAACCTCCGCTCCTTCTGCTTTAGATATTGCGCCCTTAATCAAATCACTTTAATGCAATTCAGTTTATGTGAAAACGTATTTTAAACTTTACCCGTTTTGCCTACTGTTGGCGATCAGAGGGGTGCTGGTTGTAAGACAGCTCTGTTTCTGTCAGCATGACCCAGGATAGCTGCAGTGGCGCCTCCAGAAAAGTTTCATAGGGGTGGCTAGATGGGGACACAAAAAATCTTGGGGTGGCACACGGAAACTAAAAGCCATAATTTCAGGATTTGAATCTACTATTGTGGTAAACCTGCCTGTAGGAATCATAAAGACTTAAGCAAACACCTACTCATATCTTGGTTTATTGTGTGATTTTTAATGCTGCGTCTCTGGCTGTACAATTTACACCTTCGAGTGGGGTGGCCAGTGGGGTGGCCAGTGGGTAGCTGTGGCTATGGTGTATCTCACCATCATCACTGTGTGAATGACTGAATGTAGTTAAAGCATTCTGGGGAGTTTGTAACAAATAAAGCTATATAAGTACAAGCTACTTACCAAAAGTCTAATACAGATAAATATTTTCACCTAGGATTGTATCTCTACTCTACAGATAATAACACTTTTTTTCTTCTCTCCACCTTTTTTTGTAATTTGATTTCTTCCACATCAGTTTTTTTCTGTTTTTCCTCTTCTGAACAGCAGTCTTAGATTTCACTCTAACATATTAACATTTTAACATAATGGACCCCTCTTCAGCTCCTACTGCTCCGTACACGTTTACTCCCATCCAGAACGTCTCAGTGCCTTCCTCCTCTCCCTCTGTCTCTCCATCTCCAAGCTTTGCCTCTACAGCTCTCTTCTGCTCCCTCCTCTCGCTCCTCTCTCTGCTGGGCATCACAGGAAACCTTTACACTTTGGTTCTCCTCCTGAGGCGCAGCAGAGGTAGGAGAAGACGTGGAGCGGGACCGGCCTGCTGCCTAACAGGAATACCCATCCCCTCTTGCCTTGCAAACTCTGCCTCCCCTTCCTCCTCCCCCTCGTCCTCCCCTTCTTCCTCCTCTCTTCACCTCCAGGTGCTGAGTCTGGCACTGGCAGACCTGCTCTACCTTTTCACCGCTCCCTTCATCGTGTATGACAGCTTGGCATCAGGATGGACCTTCGGGGAGCTGGGATGCCGCCTCCTCCTGAGCCTGGACCTCCTCACCATGCATGCCTCCATCTTTACCCTCACTGCCATGAGCATGGACCGCTACAGAGCTGTAGCCCATCCCTTGCGCACCTCATCTTCCAACTCCTCTAACCTGCTGCGGGTGAGCCTGGCATGGGGTCTGGCTGTGGCTCTTAGCCTGCCCATGATGATCACCTTGCACCTGGAGGATGGGGAGCACGGGGAAGGACAGCTTTGTGTCCCAGCCTGGGACGAACAGAGCTCCAAGGCTTATCTGAGTGTACTTTTCTGTACCAGCATCCTTGGCCCTGGATTGGCTATCGGAGGACTTTACGCCACTCTGGGCCGGCTGTACTGGGTATCACAGACCCAGCCAGCATGGGCCAACGGTAACAGCACAGCAAGCAGTCCCAGAGCACCAAAGCCTAAAGTCCTGCTACTCATCCTAGGTATTGTCTTGGCCTTTTGGGCCTGCTTCCTCCCCTTCTGGATATGGCAGCTGCTCCCCCTCTACCAGCCAGACATGCTTCGAACATTACCGGTTGGAACCCAGGTGACCGTTAACCGCATTCTTACAGGACTAACTTACGGAAATTCTTGTGTCAATCCCTTCTTCTACACATTACTGACTGGGAAACGGAAACCCAACAGGCGTGTGCTTGCATCAGCGAATCGGCTCTGCTGCAAGGGCAGTCCACTGCAGTAACGTGATTGTCTCCAACAGCAGAGCCTAAAATGCGATGGTGCTTATGAGAGTGCAATAATCTATGAGGATGCTTTAGAGATTCCAATATAGGCTACCAAAGATCAGTGACTCCATCTGTGAGATGAAAAATTTGAATATTCAAGAAATGATAGCACTTTGTATTAAAGCTTCATGGAGGGTAATTCTTTTTTCTTAGAGAATATGAATAATACTGAGCTTCACCTGCAAAAGATAAAAATGTTTGTAAGATGTTTCTACAATGATCAGATGGTACTGTGCCTTGCAAAGGTAACCTCAGCATTTTCTTTTAATAATCACAAACTTCTGTGTTTTTCATGTAATAGATGGAGAGTATTGCCTTCATTGTGAACTACAATTGTGCTCTGTAATTTCTATCCAACTTTTTCTGCATCAATGGTTTCAATTAAATATGCAAAAATTCAAATGAAGGAGATTTAGGTCCAACCCATTTTAAGATATCACTATACTTTGATCTAAATATTTTAAATCTATATTGCCCTGCTGGAAAGAGAAGATTCACCACAGTTTGACTGATGCTGTCAGTTTTAAGTGTACAGCCATGTCAGTGGGCTTGCATACGTATTGTACCTTTTCTGTTTTAGGAGAATGTATTGAACAATACATTGTGAGAGGCTTCAAGCTCGGGGAGAATGTTCTCTCTAACCTGCCTGCCTTGTTCCTACTGTAGGTCTCAATATTGCATGTTCTCTAATGTTCTCTGACAAACTTGTAAGTCAGAACAGCTGGATTTATACTGACGAAAAACTGGTTAACTAAGTTTGATAATTAAGACTTCTAGAGAAATTGTTTGTGCTGAATTCTGCTAATTATAATCAGAGTAAAAGGGGCAGAGCACATATGAAAACCACATGTTTTATAAAGTTATGTATGAGAAATGTTGACAATCATTTATCACTTTCCTTCTACTTCACTAATGAGCAATATCTGTCACAAACATCCAATAAAACCCAGAAGTGTGTGATAATAACAAGGGAAAATGTGAGTTTATATTTTTCGATAGGCACTGTCATATTTCTTAATGCATGGCCTCAAAGGTTACATGTTGTTTAATGTATTAAATGTTTAATGCAATAATTGTCACGATGCATAAAAGTGGTTGCAACAAAACAAAAAGACATGATAAGTGTGAATTTAGCCCAGAAATGGAAGGGGCTGAGCTTATTATCTAAATAATATGAATATCAAGAAAAAAGAGAAAATAACATATGTTGCATCAGCTTAAAAAAGCATTTCCAGCTTTTTTAAGCTGACCTCTGACATGGTCTGCTTGTTTCGAGAGAAAACTCACTGAAAATGTTTGTTTTTAGACAACTGGTTGTTTCTGGCCAGAGACTCGAATGGATATTTTTCTGAGATGTTGTTTGTTGACATAATGAATTATGTTTAAGCATGCCCATAGGCTTTTTGTTTACTTCTCCTGACACTTTATAAGGCTTTTTTGTAATCTTTACCTGCATGTTAGGGTTTGAAAATGTACTTATTGTCATTAATCATGCAATGCTCTGCACGGCCTTAACTGGTATTGAATTAGGTTTATATTGTTATATATAGTCACAAATAAAGAGCATGCTCTCTATATCTCACACTGCCTTTTCTTTAATAAAGACGTTATTTTACTGTTTAAAATATCTAACAATAAATACACAAAATAGATTGTTAGCCAAGGTGCAGGATTTATAAAATGTGTAGGCTATCAATTACCTTACAAACCAGGGAAAATGGAGGAACTGATGCAAGAACCAAAATGTTTTTTTATTTAATTTCTGAGGTGCTGGAGGGTTTCCCTTAATTGCCAAAGTCGTTGTCTGTCTGTCTGTCTAACTGTCTGTCTGTCTGTCTGTCTGACTCAAAGGCTGCATTGCAAAACCTGCTGCTCTTTGACACAGATGAGCAAATATTGTTGTATGACAGTGAGCAGAAAAGATGGAGGACAAATGAGTTAGTGGTGCTGCATTTGCCCAGATATTTTACATTTTTGGATGGATGGTGTCTGGGAGGAGAGGTCTTGGGGCTTAACAAATTGACCGTGGGATGACATGTTTGCTGGTTTGGTTTATTTATGCACCATGTTCCTTCCTTTTGCTACATACCTTTTGAAAGTAAAATAAAAAAAACACAAGAAAAATAAACTCATTGTATAAAAGTTGACAAAGCAATTTGTTCTGTTTTTGTTTGATTTATTAGTCCCCCTAAAAAGTTGCCTTAAAAGGTTACATACCTTATGGACATTACACCTATTATCATAGATCAAAGCTAAATTTTCCAACATACATTAAGCAAAAATTGCTATTTTAAATGTATGTATCCCTAGTTGGTAACAGAGTACAATTACTTCATTACCTTACTTAAGTGGAAATTTTTGGCTATTTATACTTTATTGGAGTAATTATTTTTTAAACCTTTTACTTCTACTCCTTACTTCGTTTTGCAATTATCTCCACTTTCTACATCTAAGCTCATTTTCATTATGACCTGTGGGTGTTTCAAAAAATAAAAAAACATCAAAATAATTTGATTTATATAGAAAACTTCTTTGTCTGTGACCTTTTGTCCACCAGAGACCAAAATAAATAGTCTTTCAAGATGATGCAAATTTAATTTTAAACTTTTACTATAAGCTATAAAACTAAGAATATGCAGTATAAGGAAGTTATTGTATTGTAGAATTGTAGAAAAATTTTCCTTTGATACAGTTGCACAGTAACCAGGGTCTCTCTTTTAGATGTTTTTTTCTTCATTAATTTGACTTGTATACTTTAAGTCGTTTAGAAAATCGTACTTTTACACTTTATGTAATGAGTAGAAGGCTTAAGTTGATACTCTAATTTCTACAAAAGTGTTTTGAAACAGTAGGATACACAATAACCATAAATACTTTTGAAAGCTCTGCTACTTGTAAGGAAAATATGACTGAACAGCATTAGTTATCATGACTGGGCTTTAACTATTCTTTGTCTTTTCACACACTTAAATTACAAAAAATGAACATGTAGTAACAGGAGTAGACAGATTACATATGTTCATCATAAGTATGAATGTCATTAAGTTGGGCTTTTATATTGATGACTTGATCTTTTTCCAGGGTAGTCCTACAGTAACCAAAAATAACTAAAATAAATAAATGAATAAAGAACTGGGTGAAAAACACTTAATGTGAAGGTGTGAACTGATCAATCCCGACTCCAAACTTCATAAGCTGCAGGGTAGCCATAAGCTTTATGTAGCCAACCTTTACATTATTTATTGCTTTTCAATAGGGTTGAAGTTGGGGTTTTGGAGGAGGTAAATGCTTAAGCTGTCATTAAATTAGATCGGTTAGAACAATAGGGATCAATAAGGCTCAAGCTGCAAACTACTATGTCAAAAATCCTGCTCTGACACAAATACCTTCAATTATGACAGCTTTTCAGGTGGACAATTGGAATTTTCTTTTGAGGGGCAAGGTCATGCTTCCTGATAAAGATGACAGGAAGTGTGTTTGGAGCCTTTAAGGTAAGGCTTTCAAATCTAAACAGACCACAGTATTTGTCAAGCACGGTGGTGGTAACATCATAATTGGAGTCTCAGATGAAGCCATGGCTGTTAATGCTAAAAAGAGTTGAATAAATGACAAGGAGAAAGAAAAAAAACTCCAAATGCTTGAACTTCACTTAAAATCAAAAGACATTGAAACTGAGACTACAATAAGGAAATGATAAATACATCGAACAATACATCATTGTTTAGCCTCTGGAATGATCAAGACCTGAATTGTATTCAATTGAATATAAAATTACAAAAAATAAACAAATCGAAGTTAGTATTTTTGAGGCAAAGATATTCGAATATTCGTTATTTGTTAATGACGAAGGACAGCTTTAAAGTATAAGTGAACCTGTATGGATCTGCAACAACCCACAATAAATACATGCTTGTAAACTTCTTTTTGATTTAAAAATGAATCAAAGATTTAGACACTTCAAACAGGTCTTTAATTCTATTAGGTTGCATTCGAATGAGAGCATTACAAGAGGCTTCATGCCAGAAAAAGAAACTACAGAAGGTCTTAGGAGACAGGAAGAAAAGACTCAAAGTTATTTCTTCTTTAAGGCCTTTTTTTTTGTCCACTGTATGATACCCTTATTCAAGTACACTAAACCGTCTGCATGTGTTTCCAGTTACTTTCCCGGTTTACCTCTGAACATAATGTTCCGGCTGTTGATAGGTTATCCACATCCATGTGCAGGCACACCACAGGGGGCGCTTCTGTTGTGAAGTTAATGCAAAATCCATTCACCTTTCGCAGACAGCTGAGACCTGCACAGCACATTTGTCCAATTGAATGGAATTTCTTGCAGATTCAGAGCCAACTTCATTTGAAATCATAACGTCCCTCATGAAAACGTGTGATTTTTGGACCTCTTTGTCATACCACAGTGACAGTAGATGGAGGTTTGAACCTCATATGTATGAAATGCTTCCAAAAATGATTCTTGTTGGATATTAAAGAACACAGAGAGAGTGTGGTTTAATTTATCAAAGTCCTTGGATAAATGCTCTATATATCATTGGATTAAAGTGGCTCTCAGGTCTGCAGGGATGACTGATTGTCTGATAAACTTTGAATATGTGGTGTTTGGTCAACCAAACAAAATGGATGGAAAATATTGCCTCAGTGAGTAGACCGGCTGATCCATAATCTTAATGTTGTTTTAGGTTTGTATGTTGCCAGCCCCAACGGACCTGCTCCAATGATAACTTTCCCCTCCTCCGCAACAGAAGCTTTTGATTCCACCCTGAGATTACACACAGCGTCTTCCTCTCATGGCCACTGGGAAACACAAGGGCAAATATTTTCTTTAGAGAGACATAGCTGCGTTCTACCTGAAGATTTTATAACTCCAGCAGCACATGTCAGTTTCCTGGAACCACCGAGCCTCTTTCCATTCCAGCTCCGTCCCATCCCGCCCTCCTCCTGGCCACTGTCTGAGGCGGCTGCAGGTGCCCCTCCCCTGGGCGGCTGGCTCAGGAAAGCACCCCGCTGGGCAGACGAGACGAGGCCAAAGCCCAGGCCAAGTTCATGCTGTGAGGTGCAAAAGAGGCTCCCATTCTAGACATACACAGAAAAGATTCCCCTCTGTAAGATTCAATCCCACATCTGTTTTCCTTCCCTCTATCACGTCTTCTGCATCAAATCCTTTGGTGCAAGAAGGATTTAGATCCATGATGGCTCACACTAACTGGTCCCAGTGGTATTTAATTAGAGGCTTACAACTTTGAAGCTTGCACTGTTTTTTAACATTTTTTTGTTTTATCTCTTATCATTTTAAAAGAACTTTCAATGACAGACTAAGGCAAGGATGCATATAGTTGCTAAAGCAGAAATGATAAAATTATTTAAAGGTTATAGCTACATTAATATTAGTTCCTCCCAGCCAGTAAGTAGCACATTTTTGTCATAATGTTTGCCACTACAGCACAAATTTAAACATTTAATCTAGCTTCTGAGAAAAAAAAGAAAAAAAAACTCCCATTTTGCTTCTGAGTCCCTTAGCTTTCATAAGTTGACATATAAGCTCTAAAGCTTAGCTGTTGTTTACCATCGTTTTCTTTTGTTATTTTTTTGGTTTGAATATATAAAATACTTTTCCTATTATGTGTCTTATTTCATGTACA